CAGTGAACACCGACACCACTACCAGCACTACCAACACTACCAAACACTACCAACTCTTGGGTTGTATAGCGTTGCCTAACGCTGGAGAGAGCCATACCATCATTCATTATTAGCATCCCTTTGGTAATAGGGCTTTGACTGTGTCTGCACTCACATCCACTCTAATAGGCTTAGACTGTATAATCCATTAGTTAGGCATCGCTAGTGCATGTGAATGCGTGTGTACCCCACTGTCCACCCGGTGCCCCTACATACATACAGGTGCTCTCTAGCTAACCTCGTGGTTAGGTATGTGCCCAAGAATTTGTTGCATAATAAGTAATATTGAATTAAATTCTGTGAGCCATAAGTCATAAGTCAGTGAACGTAAGCGCAACCAAAAGCCATTAATAAGGCGAAGGGAGTGGACAGTCGTACGAGTGAACCCCCGGCGCTCAGTGGCGTAACCGCCGCACAGTTCAGACACCACTACTACCTATACACTGGCTGTAAGAGTCAGACACAGCGCACGCACACCTCTACCGCCACAGACTGTGTGTCTCTGAGATCCCTATCGTCTGAGTGCGAGACAAATGAACACATGTTTTGATTGACTGAATGCCGGACTCTTTGCGTCAAACGATTCACTCATTGACTGATTGATTGACTCATTGTTTGTGTGTTTTGTCGACAATAGTGTTGTTGTAGTGAACCGTCGGTGCCGTCCTCGCAATGAACGCTCCGCCGGCTTTCGAGTCATTCCTCCTCTTCGATGGCGAGAAGAAGTAAGTGATCACCCATTGTATGTCACCATCAGTACATCCATTGACCCAATGATGGCATGTCTGCAGGATTACGATCGAGAAGGACACGAAAGTGCCGAATGCGGCCATCTTTACGGTGCAGAAGGAGGACCACACCGTCGGCAATATGATCCGCATGTATGACACCACTCACAGTCAGCCATGTCTTCACGCATTCATTATCTCGTTGTCCATCCCGTAGGCAACTCCTCAAAGACCCACAGGTGCTGTTCGCCGGCTATAAAGTGCCGCATCCGCTGACCCACGAGTTTGTACTCCGCGTTCAGACGACACCCGACTACTCACCACAAGAGGCACTCATGAACGCCATCACTGACCTCATCAGTGAGCTGTCGCTTCTGGAGGAGAGGTTTAGGGTAAGGGTTGTCCTGTCATGTGATTACGAGTCGCTCTTTGCTAACGAGTTGTTTGTTGTCTTCGGTTAGGAAGCGGTTCGGGAGCGACAGGAAGGCAACGACTGATACCACCGCTCGTCCATCCCTTTCCACTGCATTATTCATCGGGAACTCCACTCTTCGTATTCATATGAGTTGATTATAGAAACACTTGAATGTAATTTACAATAATTGTCGTCAATATAATGATCGTAAGAAGTAGTGAACAACTGGTTTGCCGTGTAATCGCTTGTATCGGTTGTACTCAAGCCTTAAAATTGTTTGAATTTCTGAATTAATTAGCTCTCGATTCCGTTGTCTAATCTAATCAATGATTTCAAATCCGATATATTAGTTAAGAATATAATCTTTGTGTCTTACATAATGTAAAAGTAATTATTATTTTCTTTGCAATTAATTTCTTATGCTATTTATCTGTCACTCAATTCGCGGCAAATTATTGTTTTTTCGTCAAATACTCTCAAACCTCTAATTCAATTGATTTTGTTTTTATGTAAATATATATTTATTTTATTAATTGAAATAAAAAATTACAAAAATGTGACGAATTAGTTGTTGAAAATTAAGAGTCGATTAAAAAATAAGACAAAAACTCATTAAATGTTTTTTATCAATAATTAATCAAAAGAATAGTTTATGTGGAACTGTAGGACACTGTATGGCGAGGTATTCGCAATGTATTGAACGGGTTTTTGGTGGTTATGTATTAGGGGTTATGAAAAGCATCAGTAATATGGACCCCATCTCTAATTTACAGGCTCTCTCTCCACGAGCCGTACAAAGAAGTCATACTCGTTATGAACTAAACTTTGGAGAAATTGTTTGAATTGTATTTATTTGAGTTTACAGTTATTTTAGTGTTTCAATGCAAACAGAATCGTTTGTCTGGTGTTTGACTTTCAAATAAATGAATCCATGTTTTGAGTGATAAACAAGTCTGGAGTCTGTATGACAGGAGTTGATTGTCGTCCTCGTAATAGTCATCCATTGCTAGGGTTAGAGAGAAAGACAAATGCTGTGCCATAGATACCAGTTCCTGCCTTCAAATAATGTGTAGTTCACTGAATCCTCAAATGGATGGTACCCAGGGCTAATTGTGGTTATAGAGTGGGAAGTTGTATGGGTACGGGCATTTGGAAAGGGTATAGTATGCAGTGTGTTGTGTAATATATTGAAGTATTGAATAATTGGGCACAAACTACAGACAAGAATTAGTTTCTCTCGCGAAATGTATTGAGAATTATTCAACAAAAGCCGTACATTAAGTGTTGTGCCAAACCTTTGCGCACTGGTATGCTATGAAGTTTAAGGTGAAACCCAACGTCTCTCCGTTGGTTGCTCGCCGAGAATTACATTACATTTGACTTAATTTTAATTTATTATTGATTTAATCTTATTCTGACTCTAAGGAGTCATTGATATTAACCTTTCCTTTGAACCCAACGATGCCTTGAATTTATAATATTCTCGCGATTCTGATGCCTTTAAATAACACATTCGACGCTATATTGGCAACACTTCTTCATTTTGCAACTTTTTATACGGCATTAACACAAATAGAGAGCATTTGGCTGACATGTGCCGGCTTATTATATATAGTATATCATTCAATGCTACACAAAACAAATTTACTTTATATTTAATAATATTTACTTATTCTATTATACTAGTGTGCCAATATAATATACAGTATAATATAGTGTGAATTGTAATGTAATATAAAGTATAAGTTTAGTTATATTGACATTTTTCTAACAAAAGTAAGGAATAAATTTAAATTATGAATAGAGATTATCGGGATAACTAGATATAGATTTAATTTTCTTAATTAAATTTAAATTTGTTATATATTTGCCTTCAGAATCGGCTTAATTTTAAATATTAAAATCTTATAAAACTTAAATTTTTAATTAAAAATTATTATTAGTTTATTATAATTGTATTGAATAATAATTTCAATTCACTAAAATGACTGGCCTGTTATTATTGTTAACATTTTTGCAAAATATAATTTGTAACACATAGAGAATACTATTGAATTAAATAATTAGTAATAAATAAACAAATGATTTTTATTTTTCTCGTATAGTAGTACAGTATTTAGTAAATTAAACAGTTATATAAAGTTTTGATTTATGAAAACATTTAGTATTTATAGTTCTAAATAGTTTTTAATTTACTACCGGGTATTAAAATGTTTTAATTTTTCTTATTGTGAATAAAAAATAAAAGCATTCAAAATAAACAGTAAAAAATTAAAGCAAAAATATGCAAAAAATAAAAGTAAAACCTTTTTTAAATATATATATTCCTTAAAATTAATTTTCAGTTTTTATAGCAAAATAAGANCATCCCGTAGGCAACTCCTCAAAGACCCACAGGTGCTGTTCGCCGGCTATAAAGTGCCGCATCCGCTGACCCACGAGTTTGTACTCCGCGTTCAGACGACACCCGACTACTCACCACAAGAGGCACTCATGAACGCCATCACTGACCTCATCAGTGAGCTGTCGCTTCTGGAGGAGAGGTTTAGGGTAAGGGTTGTCCTGTCATGTGATTACGAGTCGCTCTTTGCTAACGAGTTGTTTGTTGTCTTCGGTTAGGAAGCGGTTCGGGAGCGACAGGAAGGCAACGACTGATACCACCGCTCGTCCATCCCTTTCCACTGCATTATTCATCGGGAACTCCACTCTTCGTATTCATATGAGTTGATTATAGAAACACTTGAATGTAATTTACAATAATTGGAGTCAATATAATGATCGTAAGAAGTAGTGAACAACTGGTTTGCGGTGTAATCGCTTGTATCGGTTGTACTCAAGCCTTAAAATTGTTTGAATTTCTGAATTAATTAGCTCTCGATTCCGTTGTCTAATCTAATCAATGATTTCAAATCCGATATATTAGTTAAGAATATAATCTTTGTGTCTTACATAATGTAAAAGTAATTATTATTTTCTTTGCAATTAATTTTATGCTATTTATCTGTCACTCAATTCGCGGCAAATTATTGTTTTTTCGTCAAATACTCTCAAACCTCTAATTCAATTGATTTTGTTTTTATGTAAATATATATTTATTTTATTAATTGAAATAAAAAATTACAAAAATGTGACGAATTAGTTGTTGAAAATTAAGAGTCGATTAAAAAATAAGACAAAAACTCATTAAATGTTTTTTATCAATAATTAATCAAAAGAATAGTTTATGTGGAACTGTAGGACACTGTATGGCGAGGTATTCGCAATGTATTGAACGGGTTTTT